AGGAGAAAGAAGAGGAGGAAGAGGAGGAGGGAGAGGAGGAACAGGAGAAGGAGGAAGAGGAGGAAGAGGAAGAGGAAGAGGAGGAGGAGGAAGAGGAGGAGGAGGAGGAGGAGGCCTTGCCCCTGAGGAGAGACTGGTTGGTTCTGCCACCTCACCTCACAGGTAAGCCACCACAAGTCTCCTTTCATCTTTTCTACAAAGTTGTAACACTGCTGCATCAAAAGCAGACAGAATCTTAAGAACTTTTCTCTCCCCAGTTCTGGCCAAACTGTAAATAAATCCATTTTCTTTTACTAATTTGTTTCCTTGTTTCTCTGCAATATAGGGAAACTGAGGCAATACATTTATAGACCTGAGTGCCATAATGCTATCTTCCACACCTTGCCTCCTGTCTGCCCAAACTGCTCTTCCCTTGTTTACCTCAGGTTCTAACCACCCCACTGGGCTACTACTCCTCACCAGATGTGTGTATGTTCACACATGTTAATAAACCTCTATTTGTGGCTAGGAATGGTGGCACTTGGGAGGCTAGGTATTTGACTTCAGCTACATAACAAGTTCAAGATCAGCCTTGGCTACATAGTAAGACCCTATTTAAAGACAACAAAATGGGGCTGGAGAGATGCCTCAGTGGTTAAGAGGACCCAGATTAAATTCCCAACATCCACATGGCAGTTCACAACTGTCTGTAACTCCAGTTCAAGGGGATTTGACTCCCTCACACCAATGCACATAAAATAAAATTAAGTAAATGATTAAAACAACAACAAACAAACTTCTGTTTTTCCCTTGTTAGTCTCTCATCCAGTCAACTATTGGGTCCTAGCTAGAGACTCAAAAAAGAAAAATGACTGTTTTCTTCTTTCACTCCAGTGAGGAAGGACACTGCGAAGATGTTCATTTTCCTCCAGATTTTGCCTGAGCTTCATTCTGTGATGTTGCCTTGAATCACTGTTTCAGTAAACTTAACTGTGAGTACACATACTGAGTCCTCAAAGTCTCAAAACTGAATACCCAAACTTAAGCATGGCCTTGAGGACCGCCAACCCACCAGTGTAATGAGAAATGTACTTTGTGGGACAGGATTAGGGAAGAAATGACAGTCAAATTCCTTTTAAATTTTTATTAAGATGTTTTGGGCATGGTGTCATGTACCAGTAATTCTAATGCTCAAGACGCAGAGAAAAAGTCAATACAAGCTCAATGCTAGCCTGGTCTATGTAGGAAGCTCCAGACAAACCAAGGGCTACATAGTGAAATCCTGTCTCAAAAATAAACAAATTATTACAATCTTCAGTTTAGGGGCTGGAGAGATGGTTCAGTAGTTAAGAGCACTTGTTCTTGTCTCAGCACCTACATGTGCACATGCCTTTAATCCCAGCACTCAGGAGACAGAGGCAGGTAGATCTCTGTGAGTTCAAAGCCAGTCTGATCTACAGAGCAAGTTCCAGGACAGCCAGAGTTACATAGGATTGATAAAATCCTTTTATCAAAAAACCAATGGTGCTGGGTGGTGGTGGCACACGCCTTTAATCCCAGCACTTGAGAGGCAGAGGCAGGTGGATTTCTGAGTTTGAGAGTTCGAGGCTAGCCTGGTCTACAGAGTGAGTTCCAGGACAGCCAGGGCTACACAGAGAAACCCTGCCTCGAAAAACTAAAAAACAAAAAAACAAAAAAAAACAATGATAATGATATTGACAATGATAATAATAATTTAATCTTCAGTTTGGAAAGACAAGTCAGTGGGTAAAATCACTTGCTGTGCAACCTTGAAGACTAGAGTTCAGATCCCAACACCTACATACCAAGCTGGACATGATGCCCCCACATACTCCAGGGCTACTGGATGGTAACAAGAACATTACCAGGGCTTGCTGGCTGCCTAACTCCAGGTTCATGGAGTGTCCTCAAAATAAGGTAGAGGGTGATGGGACACTCTGGGTCTCCACCCCAGTGCCCACAGGCACTCTCACCCACAGGCACCTGCACACACAAATGGACATAAACACAGTATACAGACACAATTCTCTCCCTCTCGCTTCCTCTCTGTCTCTCTCTGTCTCTGTCTCTCTCTGTCTCTGTCTGTCTCTGTCTGTCTCTCTGTCTCTGTCTGTCTGTCTCTCTCTGTCTGTCTGTCTCTCTCTCTCTCTCTCTCACACACACACACACACACACACACACACACATCTTAAACACAGGTGAACTAGGCTTGGGATGGTAAAGGTATTTGTTTAGTATGCATGAGGCTTTTGGGCTCAACTCCCCAGCACTTCACAAAAATAAAAAGACAGAAATATTGAGGTTCTGGAGGTGATTGGCTGTTGTTGCTGTTACTGTTTCATTGTCTAAAATCATGAAGGATTGTGAAAACTCTGTGGCTCTGAAACCTGAATTCTGTAAACAACAACAAAAACCTTTCAGTACAGGAATTTTCACACACAAAAAGAAGAAAGCCCAGGGATGCCAAAACATGTGTACCTCTTCTGACCTCTCACTTTTTCTTGAATTTCCCTGCTTTGTTTTAATCCCACTGTTCAATTTAATCTCTCCTTTCTACATAAAATCCCCACAGGCAGTTACCAGCCTATAGCATGGAAAGGCTGTTCAACAGTCCCATAGCAACAGATCCTTTTCTTTGAGTAAACAGCAGAGGGCCCATAGACTGTCTCCCCAGAGCAGAGCACATGGTTCATAGCCATGTAAGTGAACATGAGCTGCTTCTCTCAGGAAAAGGCTGGAGTTTGGAGTATCTGACCTACTTCAGAAACACAGCTACATGACAAGATTACAAGAAAGGCCAGGATCAGGCACAGGAGATTAATTCCCTAGAGACCAGCTCTTGACTGTTTAAAGATGGCCCCGAATAAGTGAGCTTTTATTGGATCCAATTTAAATAGATAACCACAGGCTATTAAAAACAAAAACCATAGGCTACTAAGATGGTTCACTGGGGAAAGCTGTGCCTCCAAGCCTGACCACCTGAGTTCAAACCCTGAGACCCTCATGACTGCAGGAACTAACCCCTGCAAGTTGGCCTCTGACCTCCACAAACACACTGTGACTCACATGCACAAGTTCTTGCTTATATGTACACACAAATAAGTACATATAATTTATTTTTCTATTAATTCTTTGGACAATAGGGGAAATTAAACATGAACTGGATATTAGATGGCATTACTGAATTATTTTTCTTTTCTTAGCCATGAGGCTGTTACCTTTACATAGAAGAAAGCCATCCTTAGGAGATAACATCTTCAAATTGTTTTAAAAAATTCAGGACAAAGCTGGGTGGTGGTGACACATTACTCCCAGCACTTGGGAGGCAGAGACACATAATCTCTGTGAATTTGAGGCCAGTCTGGTCCACAGAATGAGTTCCAAGACAGCCAGGGCTACACAGAGAAACCCTGTCTTGAACCAACCCCCACCCCCACCACCCAAAAAAATTTCAGGACAAAATTATACATAGATACACTTGTAAGTATATAAAATATATGTATGTTCATACACATGTAAGCACACGTATTTAAAAAAAAAAAAAGAAAACACCTGTATCCTCCACACCTCTGCTATTTCACAACTCTGAAGAAAGCGAATGACCTTAAGAAGCACACCACACTCACAACACACTCAGTACTCCAGCTCACATTTTTTTAAAAAGAATTATTTGTTTAATGTATACGAGCACACTGTAGCTGTCTTCAGACACACCAGAAGAGGGCATCAGATCCCATTACAGATGGTTGTGAGCCACCATGTGGGTGCTGGGAATTGAACTCAGGACCTCTGGAAGAACAGCCAGTGCTCTTAACCACTGAGCCATCTCTCCAGCCCACATACCTTAAATATCAGCACTCAAGAGACAGAAGCAGATGGGTCTCTGAGTTCCGGGCCAGCCTGGTCTAGTGAATTCTAGGCTATCTAGGACTACACAGTGAAACTACGTCTAGGAAAAGATAAAATTCCAAAAGAGGCTAAATTTTTTTTCTTTTAAATCAGACATCAGTTATCTTTGGGGTTGAGGTCAGGAGTGGTCACTGACTAGGAAGAAGCATTATGGGATGCTTTGGTTTTGGATTGACAAAGGTTTGGGTACGCAGGAATGAGCACCTGCCAAACTGAGTACTCATTTACATGTTACTCTTATTATGTGCAGATTTTGCTCTGTATAAATTACGTCATGCATGAACTATATGTTAATATTAAACTCCAGTTAATGAGTATTTAAGAATTGTCTTGACATCTGCGACTTACTTTGAAATCCACTATTAAAAAAAAAAAAAAAAAGGACGGGTAGGAGTCACAGGCATGGTGGTGCAGGCATGGTGGTGCATGCCTGTGACCCCAGTACTTGGAAAGCTTGGATGAGAGGATCACCCGTTCATTCGAGGCAGCTGGAGATACACAGTGGGGCCCTGTCTCAAACAAACAAACAAACAAACAAACATAAAATAAAAGACAGATAAGCTTGGGTTCGGGTCAGTGTTGCGTGTAGGCCTTGAGTTCAACCCTAGTGCCACAAGAGAGAAGGGAAAGAGGAAAGATTCCAGAAGCAGCAGGGTGATCCTGGCACACAGGAATCAGACACAGAAGGCCTAGGAATTTACAGCCAGCCTAAGCTACAAGATCCTGGCTCAAATCTTTCACACCAGTCTGCCCCCTAAAAAAGTAAAAAAAAAAAAAAAAAAGTTAACAAAAGAATCTAGACGGTGAGTTTATTGGTTTTCACCATGAAATTCTTTAAGTTTGCTATGTTCAAAATTGTATAATAAACTATCAGAAAACAATAAAGATAATTATTATACCATATT